CCAACACACACACACACACACACGAGCACGCGCACACACTTCCTTAAATTACCGATGCGATAGTTGAAGAAAAGATGATACAAGTATGCCAATAGCATCGCATCTCCCCACAGGACGCTTCGCTCTGAGAGCTTTGGAACATCTGAGAAGACTGAAGAAGTAGGTGATTTGTACGTGGCTAGAAACACCGGACTGGATTTTTGGACAATGGAATAAAACACCATGTATACATTTTGACTGCTTACTGTGTTTGTTCATTTTCTGATTTTGGCTCTATTCTTTCAGACATAGTTATGTGAGGCAGCGTGGTGGAAACAGGCTCTCGTCAGTTTTGGGGCATATTGAGTTATTGGTATTATCTTACAGCTTGTCCATTTGTCTTGCTTTCAATGAAAAAATTACCAAACCATCTTCAATAGAAGTGGAGATATTTTGAATCGAAGGAGGTAAAATTAGCGAGAAAATGGCCGCCAAAGCTTGGTAAATTCCAAAGCTGGAGAGTCCATGGAAACTAATTTTTTTTATTTATATGCCTTTAATCAACGTTTTCGGTGAAATCCTCAAAGGAATGTGTTTGTAAATGGACATAAAAGGTGTTGAGCCCCCCCAAAAAGTTGATAAAAATTGCTAAGCAGGGAGAAAACAGCTGTTTTCTTCAATCTCATTATTTTGACGAGAGCCTGATTCCACCACACTGTCTCACTTATTATGTGTAGATTATGTACTTCTTCGTACGGGTGAGTCACGAAAAAAAATCAAGGATGTACCATTCGTTTCTCTCTTGTTAGCTTTCCTCCATAAAATAGTAAACAGTTGTTTCTCGGACATTTGTCTCTTACCATTCTGTCTGCCTGAGTTGTTTTGGTTATAAGCCATGTTTCTGTCTTCTTCCTATCTTCTGCATGGTCTCCCCATTCCTTTCATCTTTGCGTTAAGATTTTGTTTCTAGAGTAAATAACGAAGTTTGGTATTCTCAAAGCAGTTCAGTTTCAGTTTCGTTACGACCTGGAGAAATGTTGGTGTTTCTACTACAAGATTCTTTTCAACACTTCGTTTTCTGACTGTAATTTCTGCCTTCCCTATATTATTCTAAGAGTTCTCTAACATTTCACTACCAAAGCTGTAATCTTGTCTGTATCTTGTTCATTTATGATCCATGCTTTTTAATCCATATTTTGCCACGGGCATAGTACTTCTAGGAATCCTTTTTTTTTTAAAAAGCTATTGCATTGTCCTTTTCACATAATGCTTATTCTTTATTTATGATGTTTCGAATGCATATTTGTTGGTTTATTCTCAATCTCAGGGGTGGTTTTCCCATTTTCTTTATGCTGGCTTCAAGATTTTCGATACAGTTTGTTCCCTTCCCCCATCCACCCCCAACCCCCCCCCCCCCCAGTTTATATTACAGCCTCGTCTTTACATGTTTCTATTTCCTTTAATTTGGTCTTCTTAATACTTAGATATGGCCCTTTTGGGGGTTTGTGTTCTTCTGAAGATAAAGAGAAGGTGAAGGAAGAGAATGGTGAGGACAGCAATGACAACGATAACAACATAAAAAAATAATCAACAAAAGCAAGAAGAATGAGGGAAAGAGAAATAACAACAATGTATAATTCTAATTAACAGCGACAATTGAAATTAAAGGGATGAGTGAAAATCTGTTCAAATTGCTAAGACGTTGATAGATATGTCCTCTCACCATTCTATAAAATGTATAACATCACGACACAGATTGTTTGTTTACTCTTTACTGTAAATAGAAACATAACGAAGGAACCATACACATAAAAAACAACAACAAAAATACAAACAAAAATAAACAACCATTACATAAAAAAACGAAAATAAAATGTTTGTCAGCAACAAGAAGTCATTTTTTAACAAGGAAACCGTATTCACCATCGTTGATAAGAACATTTTTTCTCAATGTAGGTTGGGTTTTTTTAACGATCTTTTCGACACAATTTAGTTGATATAACGGGAGGCAGGTTTTGACCCCATTTTGTCCGGGACAACGCAGGTTGAGAGGGACGTAACGTCCAAAGCAGAAAGACCGTGACGATGGACCTACTCGGCAACAACAAAAAACCCAAACAAAACAAGCCCCCCCAAAAAAAACAAAAAAACAAAACAACAACAACAAAACAACAACAACAAAACCAAAAAAATTCTTCCTACTGAGAAATCGAACTCACATCTTCTGCGTGCGATACGTCTACACCTATGGCACCATGGTTTGACAAGACTTATTGCAACCTATTACAGGGTGCGTGCCTGAGAAAAGGGTCCACATGTGCATTTTTTTTTGCTTTTGTAGTTAACTGCATTTTTGTATAGAATAGCTTTTCTTGGTGTCTATGTTTTTAATTTTTTTTCCAGACATCTTAAATAGTTTTGAGATATGGTCACTTTGTGAGTGAGGTGTGCACCAACTACTTTTAAGAAAAATATTTTAAAAAATCAACCCCATTTAGTAATATTACGTAATGGACATGTATTTTTAAAAGCTTCTAAAATTATACTCAGAAGAAGAATTGGTGTGAAATATTTTGTGAGGAATGAGAAAAATGGTTGATGACTTGATATCTTTTTGAGTCTCAAATCTTTAAAAAAAATTGATTTCTTTTTACTATTTTCCGAATTTTCTCTCAAAAAAGCTAGTTCCACATGTGGACCCTTTTCTCAGTCACGCAATTAGTCGTCTCATTACATTCTTGTACAGCCGCAGAAAATAAATTTCCCACAGGGACAACAATTAATATATCTTATCTTATCTTTTCTTATCTGACCTTATCTTGCCTTATCTTTTTTTGTTGTTGCTTATATGTGTTTCTGCCGCTTATGATAACCTCCAGGTAAAAAGAATTCCAAGCGTTCATTGCTTAACCTGGCGTAATAGCTAACTGTTACCAAACGATGTCGTCCTATGAGGCTATTAAATTAGAGTATACAACGAGCTTTCATCGCCTCCAAATAGATAAATACTGCCAGAGATACAGATAAAATATGGAGTGTATGTGTGTGTGTGTGTGTTTGTGTGTTTGTGTGT